TATCAGAATTTTCCGAAGTGCATGGATGTATACATTAAGACAAGTGAGCATTTTACAACACATGGAGACTGACCAGTTTTGTTTCCCTGAAGCTTTCAAAAATTTGAGAAATGACGTACAATTTTGTTGTAAAGACGCAACATAAGATGATTTACAAAAGGTAGCAACTCAAGATGGGATTAAGAAATTACTTGAACACAGGAAAGGAAACACTATGAGGAAAGTGTTTCCTGACTCTTCTTGAAGATGACAGGTTTCAGAGTAACAGCCGTGTTAGTCTGTATTCGCAAAAAGAAAAGGAGTACTTGTGGCACCTTAGAGACTAACCAATTTATTTGAGCATGAGCTTTCGTGAGCTACAGCTCACTTCATCAGATGCATACCGTGGAAACTGCAGCAAACTTTATATACACACAGAGAATATGAAACAATACCTCCTCCCACCCCACTGTCCTGCTGGTAATAGCTTATCTAAAGTGATCATCAAGTTGGGCCATTTCCAGCACAAATCCAGATTTTCTCGCCCTCCACCCCCCACACAAATTCACTCTCCTGCTGGTGATAGCCCATCCAAAGTGACAACTCTCCACACAATGTGCATGACAATCAAGTTGGGCCATTTCCTGCACAAATCCAGGTTCTCTCACCCTCCCATCCCCCTCCCAAAAACCACACACACAAACTCACTATCCCGCTGGCAATAGCTCATCCGGGATAGTGAGTTTGTGTGTGTGGTTTTTGGGAGGGGGATGGGGGGGTGAGAGAACCTGGATTTGTGCAGGAAATGGCCCAACTTGATTGTCATGCACATTGTGTGGAGAGTTGTCACTTTGGATGGGCTATCACCAGCAGGAGAGTGAATTTGTGTGGGGGGGTGGAGGGCGAGAAAACCTGGATTTGTGCTGGAAATGGCCCAACTTGATGATCACTTTAGATAAGCTATTACCAGCAGGACAGTGGGGTGGGAGGAGGTATTGTTTCATATTCTCTGTTTGTATATAAAGTCTGCTGCAGTTTCCACGGTATGCATCCGATGAAGTGAGCTGTAGCTCACGAAAGCTCATGCTCAAATAAATTGGTTAGTCTCTAAGGTGCCACAAGTACTCCTTTTCTTTTTTCTTGAAGATGATTTGTCATATCCTGCTCTGACATAATTACACCTGAGACCCAATTGAGCTGAGTGAGAAAAAGATTTTGTTACCAACGAAGAGAAGGCGTTTTGGTCACCTGATATGGTGCTAGCAAACCTTTATTTATTTATCTGATGGTGGGCTAGCTAAAAGCTCTCACTTGCACATACAACTCTCTCAAGAAACAACATATGGCATGCTAACAGATGCATATTTTGCCACTGGTGAACATCACCACTGCTATACCCCTACATAGCACTCTGCACTCTCCAGTGCTCACTTTGACTACGGCTTCTTGTTCTTACGGTCTGATGACTTCACTAAAGACTTCTCCAGTCGAAAAAAGAAAAAACAAATCCACCGTACACACTGGGTTTATTGGCTACTCTATCAGTCAAAACACAGAATGAAAAAACTTTGCCGACCACCTGATGTTTTCAAATCTGCAGCTGTTTGAATGAGGTGGTGTTGCCAGGGTTGCCAGTGGCAGCAAAAGCCTCATTAAAAATGATGCACCCATCGTGCTCAGTACAGCATACAGTTCTACGGGCCATCTGCAAAGCATACCCAGTCTTTATGGTTTTTAATTAATAACCATGTTTTTGCAGTAAGGCAACTGACATCTTTTGGGACACTGGTGGAACACGTGAGGGGCTCAATGCCAGAACAAAAACTAGGCTCACATCCCAATTTAATGCTTGTTTAATAATGACACAAGCAACATCAAAACTCAAATGTGCAAACTGACACTGGGACTGTGTTTAGCAAGTATCAGTATAACTTTGCAGCAGTATTTTATTTGTTAGCAAATGGCTACAGAGATGATAATTTGAAACTGACACATGTTCAAAAATTACCTTTCAGGGTATGAGCTTTTAGAACTCTGTACTGAGCAACAGGGGTGCAGTTCTCTTAAGTAAACAGTCTTCATCTTTTATTTTCCAGACATGACTTACGTACTGTACTCAACACTGATTATACTATCTCTGAGCACCTCCACCCCCTTCCTCCTTTCCACTAGTCCACTCATGATTGGGGGGAAAATTGTAGCACTCAGCACATCTGGATAATAACTCAGTATAATAACTCAACAACACCACATTCAGATGTACTTGCTCCTGCTCAGGAGATGATCTTTAAAATTAAGCAGCATGTGATCTGATGTTAGCCTGTTTACAGTATGGCTTTTATTTTAGCAAACAACTGGAGTTACAAAATCCTTGTGAAAAGAGATTATAAGAAAGCATTCCCTTTTATGATGCTACCACCCTACAGGCAAATCAGCTATTGAAATTGATCCCATGAGCTAAATGATGTGGTGATGGTAGAACAGCTGAATGATTTCTCCTGATATACAAGTGCAACATATAAAGCAGCTTGAGATCAAAACAACTCCAGTGTAAAGAGAGAGGGCTAAAATCCTGTAGTCCTTACTCAGGCAAAGCTCCCACTGACACCAGAGGTGAAAGGGCCCTGGGCTCCCAGCCGCCACTACCGCAGCTGGAAGATTTAAAGGGCCTGGGGATATAAGGCCCTGCCTCTTCTGGTTGAGGCCACGCCTCTTCCAGTTGAGGCCACGCCCCCTGCTCAGGACTCCGGCGAACCGGTAAGTCCTCTAACTTACTTTCACCCCTGACTGAAGCTAATGGCTTCAATGGGTGTTTTGCCTGAGTAAGGATGGCAAGATCTGATCCGTAATGAGTTATTTTTATACAATATTTAATCACGTGAAAGACCAGATATTCAGTAGAACTTAGCCCTTAATAGTTCCTATTAGGCACTGAAATGAAGTAGCCGGACTTTCAAAAGTAATCAGTACTTTTGTTGAAAACAGGATATGTTGGGTACTGAGCACTTTGGAAAAAGCTGGCCTGCTATATACCTATTTCTAATTGCTCTAAGATCCATTCATCACACAACAGGGAATGATGAGTGGACTTCCTTCTTTTTTCTTTATTTGGTCTTGCAATGAAAGCATACTGATGAGCGTAGGATATTATCTTTTCATGGCAACCGGCTCATGGTGCAGCCACTAGACTACTTCAAAATACAAATACCTTTAACAGTAACAGCACAGAGAAGAGAGAGACAATAATTGCTGACAAAGTTGACTGCTTTTTGTATAGTTTCTGTTTGCCCCCCGAGTCAAGTCCTTCATTAAAAATAAGGGCAGGAATTTTTTTACAAAAAGATACAAACACCCTGAGAGTAATTAATGAGCCTAATTTTTCCTCCCTTGCTACCAAATCACAGGAGAATTGGCCTTTGTTTGATTTTTAATTATAAGCTTGACTTATTAGTAATTTTAATATCTATTCGAACAGTTGAAACTTATTTTGCTTCAGGCCCACATTTAGTTTTCTATTTCAGTAAAATATCTGTGCTGACATGACAGAAAATTGCACTTAATAAATATACATTGTCCCCCACTCACTTTCTTTTGTTTGTTTAAATTAAAAGGCTAATCAGAAATTTCCCTTGGAAATAACCTGCAGTATAGGGTGTCAAGAAATCTCAGTCGATGAAACAAGTGGGTTTGCTTTATATTTGTTATATTGAAATCCAAACCACTGCCTATTTTCTCAAGTTATGCGTGCGTGACATTAAAATTTTACATCTGCCAAGTGAAAACAAAACAAAACAAAACAAAACAAAAAAAAACAATAACCAGTCTCTCATTCTTGCAGGCTGAGGCATGGCAGGTTTGTAACTTGAAACTTTAGAAATATGACTATTTATTGTTGCTAGTACAGATGATATATGGTGGATGTCTCTGTATTTTAATCACAGTAGCAATTACTTTCTTTTCGCTTTCAGTTTTGCTACCAACGTTCTCAGAAAAACTGGGTTCCAGATTTTGCAAGACCCAGTTTGCCAAATTATACTTTGCTTCTGCTGTACTTCTAACTATAATACACGTTTTGCTAAGTTTTAAAATTTGATTTATGCCTCCACACAGTAATGCAGTAAAGTTCAAACCCACAATTGTTGCATGAAAATGTGCTCAAATCCCCGTAGAGATTTTTGAATTAATGATGAAGGTGTTCTGAAGATTCATTGTTAATCCACGGGTTTTACTCATTGAATTACTGTTCTGTTTAAATGCTGATAAGAGCTAAACACAATAGCAAAAATATGCAGCACCTGGAAATTCATCCTGGTGACAGATCTCAGATAAAATGGCACAACTATTCCCTGAAGAGGGACCCTTCTCCTCCATATTATCCTTGGTTCTAAATTTTTTTTTATCATATCTTCTTCATCATCAGCACCTCCACCAGATTAAAAGACACAGGAATTTGTTCTTGCAACATTATACTCATTTGGACCTGCCTATGCCCCTAAACACATGGGTGCAGCTCCTATAGACTTCATTGAGAATTGCACCTGTGGGGGCAGAACAGGGCCCAGCTGAGAGGGGACAAGGTTACTAACACTATAGATGATAGACTTGTAGACCAAAGGGTCAGAGTTTTACAAAAAGGGGGTAAGATTTAACTCTCTTGTTTACAACACACAAAGCAGAGGACACAAAAAGAGGCAATTTAAGTCTATGGCTATATTCTTGCAACAGCTACAGATGTGAAAAATTCTCCATTTTTTCCTTTAGGAATAAAGACTAAGATCATTGTTATAAAAATACCTGAATACACTGCTGGGCCAAAATATTGTCATTTTCATGCAGAAAAGCCAGTTTTTCCAGGGAAACACCGTTATCTAGTGCAGTGGTTCTCAAAGCCGGTCCGCCGCTTGTTCAGGGAAAGCCCCTGGCGCACTGGACTGGTTTGTTTACCTGCCGTGTCTGCAGGTTCGGCCGATCACGGCTCCCACTGGCCATGGTTTGCCGCTCCAGGCCAATGGGGGCTCTGGGATGCGATGCGGGCCGAGGAATGTGCTGGTTGCCCTTCCTGCAGCCCCCATTGGCCTGGAGCGGCGAACCACGGCCAGTGGGAGCCGCGATCGGGTGAACCTGCAGACGCGGCAGGTAGACAAACCGGTCCGGCCTGCCAGGGGCTTGCCCTGAACAAGTGGCGGACCGGCTTTGAGAATCCCTGATCTAGTGCAGGGTCACTTAAGAGGCCATGTTGTGGAAACATGTCCAAGAGAAAAACATGGGATGTGGGAACAAACACTCTCCCACCCAAAAGAGGACTGTAGGGAACAAGATGACTGTATTTTCTTAGGGCCTGGGTATTCTAATCCATTCAAATCTGTTTTGAGGAAAAGCTGGAAGGAGGAGTAGAGATGTGGGTGATGGATGAATGCACAAAACTTCAGTACCGTTCCTGTTGAAACCTCTCATTTCCATGAAAAATTTGAGGAGAAAAAAGGCTGCATTGCTTCTCCATGTGGCGATCTATCCCTGCCCTCTCTACTCTTCGCTCCACAAGAGGGAGACATGGTGCTCTGTGCCTAGCTCTATTTTTTTCTTTGCAGTTGTTTCTAGAAGAACCTAATTTGAGCATAAAAATCAGCTGTTTGACTAATTAATGATTACATCCAATAGGCAAGGTTTTTAAATATAGGTGTACTAGGAGTCTGACTTGGCCATTCAAGTAGAAGAAAGTTTACCATTAAGCAGGCATCACTGGATTACATGGCTGCCAAAGCTTGAAAATATATAAGGTTCCAGATGAAGCTCTAGAGAACTGCGGGACAATGTAAAACTGAAGTAATTCAACTGAAGATGCTTGGATACCACAACATGTGGTGTTTTTCTTGCATACTGAAAGCGCTCATGTGTGCAAGGATTAGACCATTAATGAATTAAATAATATACAGAGGATCTATGATGAATGAAATGGCTAGTAATTTTAGGATAGTGAATGCACAAAATGTTTCAAATGAACAATCTGATTTTCTACTTTAGAATCAGAAACTGGTCAGGAGGAATAATATTTTTGCCAAGATGAAAAACTATCATTTATTAAACCACAAAAGGACATTTTTAAATAGTGTCAGGAAAGAGACTTTAACCCTCATTAGGAAGGAAATTAATTCACTGTATTACAACTGAGGTATTGCTGGAAATATGATCCTCTATCTAAGGCAGAATTCAGGCCGATGTTATACATTATCTGGGCTGCAGTGCCAAGAGGGTAAGTTTAGGAAAGAATTTCCTGGGTTTGGAAAGCTTACACCAACCCATTAAAAAGTTCCTTTAATGTTTTTGTGGTTTAATTTCTTTCTCCCAACCCTCTTGATAAATTACAAAAAGGAAATAAATTGCTTGGGAGAAGATATCACATGGCCCAATTTGTAAAGAATTAACATATTTAAGGAGTTTTAAAGCCAGTATAATTCACCCTATAGTCATTTTCATTCTATTGTGTGAATGTATTTATAGAGCATTTTGAAAGCATGTCCTGGAGCTTAGACTGCTTAAATGTAGTAGTCAGAGAATGGAAAAACACAATTATTAAAACTAACTAAACTACTTTTAGTAAACACAAGTAAGAAATAATAAATACAAGCCAAGAGAGCCAGAAGCAATGAATATCCAGCTTTTTTTCACATTCCTTAGGAAAAGCGAAGAGATTTTTATTTTTACAAGAATAATAATTTTGCTCCTGAAATGAGGCTCTCAGTTGCCAGGTTTCAGCCTAGTCCACTTACAAACAGGCATTTACTATGGAAGTTGTTCCAGATTCAGTAAAAGGTGGTTGATACACATCTATCTATCCAGCAATTCAAACTGTAGGGGGTTCTTTTAAAAAAGATCTTGCAATGTGGTCTATTTTAAGGTCACAATTTACTGTGTTGCAAAACAACAGTTTTTATTTTAAATTGACCGTCCTATATTTCTTTTAACCATTATCTGTATGCACCATAAACTCTGGAAACTGGGAATATCTTATTTTCTGATTTTCCAACATTTCACCAGGCAAACTGGCTGAAGTGTTTTAAACACCAATTTCCAGCTGTTACCTGATTTAACTAAAAAATAAATTACAAATGCTGAATACATTTACAGTTGGTTTAGTTTAGGGCAACTATGGACTGAGTTAATCCCATATTTCATGATGTTCATGCTCCTTCCTACTCTATGACAGAAACAAGTTTTCATTAACCTTATTTTCACTAGTAGAGAGGGTTCTTTTGTGTAGTTTTTTTTATTCTGGCTCTGACACAGCCATTGGGATTGGAAGAGATGGATGACCCTGTTATGCTTTTCTGGGCCTTCGAGGTAGGAAATGCGCCCGCAATCTGTAAAGGGCTAATGCCAGCACAGCTACAGCCTACACTATGCACATCTAGAAGGCAAAGAGAATATCTTCAGAAAGGCTAAGCCAGTCTTTTATGAGACATAAGAAAAATAGTCAATAGCTGTTTTCATACAAAGAAGTTACCATACGCACATAAAATTAATGCAAAGCAATAATCGAGTGTATCTTCTCATCTCCCTTTCTGCGGAGTCTATGCTGTTAATACTCTCAGCAATAAGGTATGCTTGGAACAATGCTGAGTATAAAGGGCTTGCTCCAACAGACTCCCCATTGTCCCAGCTGTGAGCAGAATCTGTCTGCAGTAAACTCCTTAAAAGCACTGCCTGCCTGTTTCTTAGTTGGCACATAATGACCTGGAAACTGCTACTAAAGGTTCCATCTCTACTGACATTGCTGGTAAAAGTGCCACAGTCTTTCAAAGAAGGAGAGGGCTCTCTATACAAGAAAAGGCTGACATAAATGAACCATTGCAATGTAATTCATATTACTCTGATACTCCCTGGTGTGTTTGGCCAGTAAGGCACTTTAGTGGAAACTCAACCTGGAACACTAAAGATAGGCATGTATCATAAAACTGAACCAGGACTTGTGCAAATATTTAAGATTCTTGAGATAGTGGAAGATGCTACAATAGTGGTTTGTTGGGGACTTTAGTAAGCTAAGAAATGTATCAGATTTGAATGGAATGGGATCATCAGAAGCAAGAAGGACATCCAGAATTATGAATAATCAGTAACATTTTAAAATGAAGGTGAAATTTCAAAATACTTAATATAAAATAAAAAGAATAACTAAGTGGTTATTAGAAGTTGCTTTTAAAAATGAACAATGTTTCATGCTCATATATCACCTTTCATCGAAGGTTTTCAAAGTGCTTAACAAAGATCGGCATCAGGAGGTCATTTTGCAGGTGAGGAAACTGAGGCACAGAGAGGTTAAGTTATTTGCAAAAAGTCACACAGTGACTTAGGAGAAGAGCTGAGAACCAGTCTTCTGACTGCCATTCTCTTGCTCTAACCATTAGATAATAATGCCTTTTTGCCATACCATCGGATTATAAAATATTATATTTTAGAAATAATTCTAAACCCCGACAACAGAGATAGGCTGCACCAAACTATGATCTAAATTCCCTCCAACTTTGGGGAACTTTGGTTCTAAGTTTTAAACTTTGCTGACTGGATTCTTTTCTAATAGTTAATGACCTGTTACATGGTTTTTATAAACTGAAATACCTAAAATCATGTATACATTTCGCTGCAACATATTATAAAGCCTCTTATAATGTATTGGGACAAAAGTCATTTCTAGTAATTGTTTCTTGATTATTAATCATTATTAAATGATGCCTAAATTTAAGTGTCACCCAAAGTTCCTTACAACTGTAATTTTGCTCATAGTAAAAGTTTGTGTACTAGTTTTTCAGATAGTAATCTCTAGAATCCATGTATGCTATAAGCAAGAATGAACTTTAGTCAGGCGAACTACAGAAACGAATGCAAAGAGGACAAAGCTTTATGCCATGAAACCCTTTCGCAGATGTGATACATACCGTTATCTTCAGGTTTAAAAAGGCTCACTCCCCTGAAACAACTATGAACTTTCAGTCAATATTTGGCAATTGATGAGTTACTGAAGCTGCATCACTCCTATAAGTGCAACTGTGCTTGATTGCAGACAGAATTACTGTTTTAAAACAATGGAGCAGAATTGAACCTCCAGCAAGTAAAGCTGCCATGTTTTTGCATAATTTTTTAGCTGCTCTAGTGCTTCTCTTTTTCTGCGTGTGACTTCATTTCATTGATAGTAATACTAATGGGATCTTCCTTGGTTGTATTTAAATCGAAAGGAACCATTCTTCTCATAAATGCTGGAAAGGAAAGAACAAAGGAGTGTGAGGGACCAATCAACCATCTGCAAAGAAATACTATCAATAGCTAGTAGTGTACATAGATTTGCTAGGGGCAGCTACCATAAGTTTGACCGTGGTCAATTTAGCTGGTGTGTTAAATCATATTATATTACAGTAATCTCACTATTGTGCTGTTCTTCACAGTCAGAATTTGTACATACTTGCCTGATATAGTACTACATGCAAAAAGCTATGTTAAATACAACATTTTGGTTACACATTTAAAATATTAAAGTCAGAAAATGCGAGTAATGATGGTGCTCATACAGCAACATACTATGGTATACATTTATCAACACAGAGAGTAATATAAGTGCTTATTGGTAAAAAACAACAGATTTTTTAAGTCCATCCATGATTAACCTGCCTGAGTCAGCTTTGTTACACAGAGGAAGCCTTAACTTCTACTTTACCTGACATTTCAGAATTGTAATTATGTGCCCTTTATATTGTATTTACACTTCGTTTGCATTTAATTTTGTAGTTTTTTTAATAAGGGGAAAAAACCCAGAAAATCCCCAAAGAAAATACCCTTCTTAGTGGAACATTCTAGAGGAACAAATTGTATTGTCCCCAGTGTTTTTATGACATCAGAATTAATGTATATGCACTTTAGGCGTGCATGTGTAATTTTTTAAATTCTTGGTTCTGGGTAGTTCCACAAACTTAGCTTGAGTGCATGATATAGCACAAAGCCCCAAAGTAAATATGAACTAGATGCAGCATCTAGTAATTATCCATTGGTAAAAAGAACACTAATTGGATGATAAGGACTTGACAAGAGGCAGAGGCACCAAGTCATGAAACAGAACCAGTCATCAGGCTTCTAGTTCTACAAAATGTCATTCTTGTACTGTCCACACATGCATCACGAAAGTGTCAGAATGCTGGGCATACCGGGCAGTTTGTTATAAATATGCTTAGTGTACTTTTTACAAATGGTACTGTAATAACTTAGCAGCTCCCATCTGGGAGCCATGTACCAAGGAACAAGTCTTCACTCTTTAATGTAGAATCCTTCAATTTCCAAAAGTGAAAGTAAACTCACTCTCTTGATTCCTTAGCTCTTAATAAATCCTTGAATTATCATTTTTCTGCACCAAAGAAACTAGAATTCTCTCAAGAATTATACAGTGTTAGCTTTCTAAGTGTGAAACCATCATTATTTGCCACAAACTTCTTTTCTGAATGCACACCCTCTTCTCTTCCACTCCCAGGTAGATCTGGAAAATTTCCATAGACCATATTAGAGAAGCACAGTCTAGCAATCTGAGCACAAGACTGAAGACAGGAATTCTTGAATTCTAATCCTGGCTCTGCTGCTGTCTCCCAGTGACCATAGGCTAGTCATAAGTTAACTACTACTGGATGCACATCAATGAAATGGGGATAATACTACTTACCTCATAGCAAGGTTATGAGGCTTTGTTGTTTGTAAAAGGGCTTTGCAGACGAAAAGCAAGAGGTAAGTACTACAATGTATTCAGTTTTGTAAGCTAAGGAGTCCCAAATCTGTGATATGACTCCCATTGCAGAACATAAAATTAAGACGCCCCTTGGTGCTAGACAATTCAAAGGAGTAATGATAATATTGAAAAACCTAAGGGCTGTTTTGGATAGAAACACACCGCCCTCCACCCCCAGTGTGAGGCTAAGAGAGGTTGGCAGGAAACATGAAGAGCACATTTTTCATTAATCTCTCAGTCATGGTACTATTTATTCTCTGAACATTTACAATGCTCATCTCCTAAGAAAACTAGAAATGCCTAATTCATTATGCAATTTCTTTTGGCAAATAAAGAGAAAAGCTATTAGAGAGCCTGCTGGTAAAATTAAACAAATTTTTGCAATGTCATTTTTTGCAGCTGTCTGGGGAAAATAAAAATAAAACACGTATCAAGTTCCTCCCATAAGACCTAAGAACATAAGAACAGCTACACTGGGTCAGACCAATGGTCCATCTATCCCAGTATCTTGTCTTCTGACTGGCTAATGCCAGGTGTTTCAGAGGGAGTGAACAGAACATACAATTGTCGAATGATCCATCCCCTGTCATCCACTCCCAAGTTTTGGGAATAAGAGGCTAGGGACACCCAGAGCATAGGATTGCATCCCTGACCATCTTGGCTAATATCCATTGATGGACCTATTCTCCATGAACTTATCTAATTCTTTTTTTAATGCTATTATAGTTTTGGCCTTCACAACATCTTCTAGCAACAAGTTCCACATGTTTGCTGTGCATTGTGTGAAGAAATACTTCCTTTGGTTTGTTTTAAACCTGCTGTCTATTAATTTCATTGGGTGAACCCTGGGTCTTGGGTTATGTAAAGGAGTAAAAAACACTTACTTATTCACTTTCTCCACACCAGTCATGATTTTATAGACCTCTATCATATTCTCTCTTAGTCTTCTCTTTTCCAAGGTTGAAAGTCTCTGTCTTTTTAATCTCTCCTCCTACAGAAGCTGTTCAGCCTAATCATTTTTGTTGCCCTTCTCTGTATCTTGGCCAATTCTAATATATCTCTTTTGAGGTGGGGTAACCAGAACAGCACGCAGTATTCAAGGTGTGGGCAAACCTTGGATTTATATAGCAGCATTACAACATTTTCTGTTTCCTTGCTTAATGGTTCCCAACATTCTGTTAGCTTTTTTGACTGTTGCAGCACATTGAGCAGATGTTTTCAGAGAACTATCCACAATGACTCCTAGACCTCTTTCGTGAGTGGTAACAACTCATTTAGGCCCCATCATTTTGTATGTATAGTGGGGATTATGTTTTCAAGTGTGCATTACTTTGCATTTATCAACATTGATTTTCATCTGCCATTTTGTTGCTCAGTCACCCAGTTTTATGAGATCCCTTTGTAACGCTTCACAGTCTGCTTTGGATTTAACTATCTTGAGTAATTTTGTATTGCCTGCAAATTTTGCCATCCTGTTGTTTATCCCTTTTTCCACATCATTTATGAATATGTTGAACAGCACTAGTCCCAGTACAGATCCACGAGGGACACCACTATTTACCTCTCACCATTCTGAAAACTGACCATTTTCTAATGCTCATCACATTCAGGGCTTTGTCTCACTGGTCTCTTCACATTAAAGCTAATTTCATTTTTTAGGAGGGAGGAATGGTATAGTGGTTAAGGCACTGGATTTAGTAAATCTGGGTTCAACTGGGCTCTGCCACATATTTCCTGTGTGACCTTGAAAGTCACTTAGTCCCACTGACTTCAATCGGGCCAGAATTTCACCCTTAATCTTCATGTCTGTTACCCAAATGGAGATAATACTATTTCTTTTATTCCACTCTTTGTCTTGTCTATTTAGACAGTAAGCAATTTGGGACAGAGTCTATGTCACTGTGTTTGAATAGAGTTTAGCCCAGTCTTTGTTGGAACCTTTTGGGGCAATCATAATATAAATAATAAAATAAAATAATAATCTGCAATAAGGAAGAGTTAAATAAAACGATGATTTTTCCATCTTTCCCACTAATGTGGGAAACATGTAAACCATTCTGTCTACCACACCATGAGCACTACAAGCTGAGCAGAAAAAGAAAGAAAATGGGAAAGATAATAAATATATGGGCAACACTTTAGGGCTTTTTTGTTTTGGTTTATTAACAGCAGGAAGTGATAGACTCAGATGGATTTCAGGGAGCAGTAAGTTTCAGACACTAAGAATCTTCTACAGCAAAAACCTGAATACTAGGGGAAAACACACAGTGAGTGGTATCTGAGCATAGACACACTGCCGAGTACGTCTCCTTTGGTTTGTAAGAAAGAGAGTACACTTCCAGCACTCTTCCTGCAAACACAGTTTATCTCTCTGGAACTACATACTTGCAAAGTTGATGACATTTTCTACAAACTCAAGCCATGTCTACATAGGGAACACTTTACAAGATTAGATATAGGTATATGATACTAGCAAAGTGCTCCTAGAGTAGACACAGCTAATACTTATACCAGGAACTCTTACCAGTATAGCATATTCCACCACACCTGAGCAAAGCAAGTTATACTAGCAAACGAGCAGTTTTGCCAGCATAGCTGTATCTACAGTAGGGGCTTCTGCGGCACGGTTCCCCCAATTTTATGAGAGATAACTCCTCATCACATCTGTGGCTGACATAGCTTTGTCGGCAGAAATCTGTGGCATAGACCTGCCCTCAGTATGCAATTTTCAAAATGTTCCTGTCTTTGTTAATTTCAACCATTTAGCAGAGTATTACTGACACACCAGATTTCAGAGTTCAGCCACTTTTGAGTTGTCTGGTTGATAAAAATATAGTAAACTTTTATTTTACAGTAGAAAAAGTCTATTCTTTTTTCATCACCCCACAGATAAAAATGGCTTAACAGAATGTTTCAGGTGTGTTTTTCCAGAAAGCTAAGGTGGTCTTAAAAGCAGGGATTTGCAATACACATTATTTTCACTACCAGCTGGTAACCAGTACAAAGGAATTGGTATATAGACTTATACAGATGTAACAGTAGACAGTTTCTGTTTGCCTTTCCAGTAATACAAGAACTAGAAGGCTCCTGATAAAATTAGAGGCAAAAAATTTAAAACACATAAAACAAATCCTCTTTTAATCCAATGTATAATTAACCTGTGGAATTTGTTGCCATAGGATATTGAGACAAAAAGTTCAGCAAAAATTTAAAAAGGATTAGACACCTATGACTAAGAGTTGAATCTACAGTTGAAGTAACTAAGATAAAAATAGGTTTTAGAGTAGCAGCCGTGTTAGTCTGTATCCGCAAAAAGAAAAGGAGGACTTGTGGCACCTTAGCGACTAACACATTTATTTGAGCATGAGCTTTCGTGAGCTACAGCTCACTTCATCGGATGCATACTGTGGGAAATACATTGGGGAAATTTTATGTACACAGAGAACATGAAACAATGGGTGTTACCATACACGCTGTAACAAGATTGATCAG